ACACACATATATATCATCATGGAAAATGTAAAAATTATTGGAGGGGTTGCATCTTCAGAGTTGAAGAAGTTTTTAAGGTCCTCTAATCACCGATATCATCATGGCTCAATGGTTCGCATTCACAAAATCTTTATTATAGTGTATTGCTATAGTGGTTTTACTTTATCACTAGGTATCTCACATTGCCTAACTTACAAAGTAAATTTTATAGTTGTTAAATATGTACAGGAATGAAACATTGCATGTAAAGGGTTCAGTACTACTGTGGGTTCAGGCGCACGCTGGGTCTCGGAAAGTCTGCCCCCAAGAAAAGGGGAGCTACTGCATGTATCACAAAGCCAATTATACCACAGTCAAGTAACACAGGAGCCCTGCAAAGAGTCCTCTGTGTGATTGTCTGTTGTCTTCTGACAAAGATTCTTTGCTTGGCCAGACCTTGGTCAGACTTTTGGACCTTATCGTAAACCCATCTGTGCCCATAAATGGAAAATATATTTTGAGCAAAGAATCCTGCTAAGTCAGTTTATTAATAACCCCCCGTACATACGAGATCTCATCACCTCTGATAGCCAATCAGGTTCCTCATCCTCCACCATTCCTCAGTAATGTTCGATCACCCTGTCTGTCTTCAGCAAGAATCCTGTTAGGTCAGTTTAGCCAGAAACCCCTGTATCCCTGATGTTTTGTCTTAGAAAATTTTCATCCACTGACCCCAACCCTGCTCCCTGGCTGTCTGCTTCCATTTGCCCCGCTATGTTCTGAGCTGAGCCCAATCTCTCTGTCTCACTGCAAGACCTAGCAGAGTGGTCCCCATGTCCAGCATATGATCCCAAATAAAGTCTTCCTGGACAAATTCTAACACATATCATTAAATACTTTTTCTTTATCACATTCCTCCCATCTGGACTGGTTCACCTCACCAGAAAAAAAAAAAAAAAAAAAAAAAAAAAAAGACAAATAAAGCCAATATAGACTTATCTGGAATTCAGAACAGATAAGCCGTAGCTGAGCAGTAATGAGTATGTCAATGAAAGGACATTTCAGGGCCTGAGGTATCCAGGCCTCCAGGCCTGCTGCTCCTGTCACTCTCGCGCCATCATCTCTCACCCAGACCTCCATCCCACACCCTCTGCGGCTTCCTCTCACTCACTTTTGGCGAGATGAAGCCTTTCAGAAGCTCCAGATCAGAAATGCCAACTGGCCTACAGTAATATTTAAGTGGATACACAGCATCCTTGCACACTTAACATCGCCATTTACCCCAAATAACAGAAAACAGCATTTTCAAGGGCTGTCTGAAAATCCCCTGTGTACAGGGGCCTTAGTTAGCCTGACACATGCCTGAGACTGGATGTTTAGGTTGTGTCTAGTTCTCTGCCCTTATAAATAATATGTCAAAAGGCATTATAGCCTGGTGCTGGTCGTGTGTGTGCATGTGTGTGTGTGCGTGTGTATGCGCGCGCATACAAGCACCTGGGAAAACATGCCAGTAAATGTTCACAGTGATCAGCATTAAGCAATAAGATCAAGTTTAATTTTTCTTTATACTTTTCTGCATCTTTCAGCTTTTTACAGTGGTTGTGAATTTCTTTCATAATTGGGATTCTTTTAAAATATGGGAAAAGAGTAAACAAAGCTTTGCTTGGCCTGCTGTCCACCCTGGCTAGCAGACTTTCTTGGGCTCGCTGCTGGGGGAATCCCATGACCAAATGCCAGGTGAGTATATTAAGGCTTTGGATTCAAATTACTGCGTTGCTTATCTCACGCCCCCAGACACCCATGCCACTTGACTGAACCCTCAGCTGGTCCTGCTTAACCTTTGGTGGGGCGAGAAGACCTCTAGGACCCACCATCAAAGGCCAGGCCAGGGTGTGGAGGCCAGCTTGGAGCATAGAAGGATCCACAGGCCCTAGACAGGCTGCTGAGGGCCAACTGCCTCTGGCTGTGGGGGCTGACCTGAGGTCCTGCTTCTTGTGAGGGTCCCCCTTCTCCGAACCAGCTAACTCTCCTTACACCAAGGATATGGGCAGAGGATGGCACTCTTGGAAATAGGTTTTATTTGTTTTAAAAGAATAAAGATGAAGAAGAACCTCTTTGCTCTCTTAACCATATCTGAAATCTAAAGAGAGGAACAGTCGCAGAGCTGAAATATCAGAGAAGCTCCCAAGTGCTGAAATATCCACAATTTAGCCCGCATAGTCACCTCTCCTCTCTGGGTGCAGGTGGGATTTCTGGGCCTTGGCTCCAGCGTCGTTCTCTTATCTTTGTTCTAAACAAAGTGATCACTTCGAGCAAGCACTCCCCCTTGGGGTCCCTACAGCGCACATATTCCAGCCCTCTCGCCCGCCCCTGTCCCCTCTCCCCACCGCCCAGCCCTCCGGGTACCTAGCTCGGCCAAGGCACCGAGTGGGCTTTGGCGGGAGGATCCTGCGCAGGAACCTGTACAGCCTCGGGCGTGCGGCCTCGCACGCCGCGCTCAGTCCCTCGCGCATTGCTCTGGTGGCGCCGAGAAGCTACAGGCTCTGGGCCGGTAGGGGCTGCAGCTTTATCGCTTCTGAGCTGAGCCCCCGCCCACGGGCGGGGCGAACAGAGAGGCCGCGTTGGCCTCCGGGCTCTGGGCTCTGAGGGGTCTCCGCAGGGACTGATCCTGGACAGCCTCTAGGCTACCACAAGGCTGGGGCCCGGATGTTTTATTTACTCTTCCGTGCAATAACAAGAATCATCACAAAAACTCTCATTGCACGGTGCTTTACAGTCTACAGGGGAAGTCTTTCCTGTCTGTCATCTCTTCCAACCCTCACAAAATCCAGTCTAGCGGGCAGTTCCTGCTGTTATCTCTAACGGGGAGGAAGTGAGGGGGGCTCAGAGAGGGTAAGGACCTTTCCCAAGGCCACACAGTAGCCTTGGGGCCAGGCCCAGCTCAAACTGTCTCCGTCTTCTAAGGGTTACCCCAGGACGGTTTCTTTCCTGCAGGAGTCCAGACTGGGGACCAAAGAAAGTAAACGGCGCAGGACTGCTAGTAGGAAATAGAGGGAAAGGGTGTCAGACCAGGCGTCCTCAGGACCTTGCCACCTAGGAAATTTAAAGCTTGGGAACTTTGTTCCCAGGCTGGCCAGGTTGAGAGGATGTAGGTGGAGATCGGGGAACCCCTCCCCCGAAGCATGTTTCAGCATATTCAGTCCCAAGCCCAAATCGCAGAGGAAAGAGTGAGTGCGTTACCCTGAGCCAGCTGCAGCCCACTGCAGAGAGCAGCACTCCGCTCACGCAGCTCAGCTCCACTTCGTTCTGAGTTCCTTATTCTTCACCCGAGTATCCCCACATTTGCCTTGGTCTTCACACACTCCCTCACACACTCACACACACACACGCACACACACACACACGCATGTCCTGCTCATTTCCAGCTCAGGTGTTCATACAAGTTATAGACTCATCAGCCACAGAGAATAGGTTCATGGTCTTATTACACCCGAGTAGATTTTTTAATTACTTTTAAAATAAAAATGCATTAATTGGTTCCCTTTGCTTGCAAACTAAAATCCCCTTTGTGGCCTGCTTCCCTTTCTAGCGACATCCTCCTGTCCCCCAGCTAGGTGACTGAACTCCAGTTGTGCCACCCCCTCCAGAGAGCTATTGCCCTTTTCTCTATCTCTTCTACAGCCCAGCACATAGTAGGCCCTCAGGGAGAGCCCATATGGTGTAGGGTTTGGACTCGGTTCAAATCTCAGCCCTGGCACTTCCTAAATCTTGGCCTTAAATAGATCATTCAACCTTATAAAACCAGGGATAAATCACGGTTCCTGTCCCCTATTGAAGTCAGGCTGGAGGGAGGCTGGGAGTAGGGCAGCCAACTGGCAGAGGTCTCAGGGAACAGAAGGAAGCTATTATCAGTCTACAGCATTTTGAGACTGAAGTGCCAGCAGGACATCTAGGGGCCACTCAACTCTGTGTTCTCTTCTCTTTGTCTCTTGATCCCTACAGACTTAACTGCCGGATTTCAAGAGTTCTCTCCTCCCATTCACCCCCCACAAACAGTACCTAGAGTGTCTTGCTCAAGAATCCACAGTGACTTCCCACCGCTAAGCAGAGGGAGTCTGAATCCCCCTCCCTGCACTCAGGCTCTGGAATGACAGCCTAACTACAGTCAGCTTGACTTCTGCCTCTTCACTCCTGGCCCCTTTTCCTGGAAGGTCTCGGCTATATCCCTCCACATTTGACAAAGTCCTCGGAGCCTAGCGCCTTCTGTGAAGCTCTTAGGGAGACTCTGCTTAATGTCACTCAGCCCCATTCCAGCTGCCAACAACCACCACAACGATGACAACCACAGCCAACACATTGCTGGAGCACTTGTTCTATGTCAGGCCCTGCGCTAGGTGGTTTGCCTGTGAAACCTCCTCGCATGCTTTCCACAACTCCAGGAAATAGTATTTCTACTCCCTCCCTCCAGAAGAGGAAACTGAGAATCAGAGGCTGGGGGACTTGCCAAAGGCCACAGGGCTATGAAAAGGCAAAGCCATTTGCTTCTCTCCAAGTTTATGGATCTTAACTGGGCTGCTTTTCTGCAGCCTCAGGACATACACACTCAGGACTGTCGTAATATGCGCCTCCAGGGGGCGCCCTGCCCACTGTAGTTCCTGAGAAAGGCTGCTCTGGAACTGCGCAGCTGCATGGAGACCTTAGGTAGAATGAGGCTTTGATTTGAATCGTTCTGTCTTCTTGTTACAGATTAATTTGTCCTCCCAACTGAGCAAGCCTCCACCCCCGGGCCAAAAGGTGGTCTCCGCTAGCATTCTCAGAAGTCTGTGCATTGACTAGGTGGTTGACGGACTAAATCCTCTCTGTTCCGTGGAACATCAGGCTTTTGCTTCTAAGGCTAAGGATGGGGCGTGAAAGACTTACACAGACTTTGGGCTCAAATATCAATTCCGTTAATTACCAAGGGGGTGACCGAGTTGCCCCAGCTGTTGGGTGAGACAATGTACACTTAACTTAGCTGCTGCAGAGGTCAGCTGAAGTACAAGAGTGTGAAGGGTGCCCAGCCTTGGAAAACAGCAGCAAACCCCCTGCTCATCCAGAGCCTGCTGTGTGCAAATACCCTTCACCCGCTTACCACATGCCCCTCGTGTCAGCCCTAGCACCCTTCGAGGCGGCACTACCTGCTGCTGATGAGCATGTTTGAGGTTCAGAGAGGTTCACTTGCCCAAGGTCACACAGCCTTAAAGAGATGACACAGGGCCCACTCCCTGTGGCACAGCACAGTGCTTGGATATAGTTTGTGTAACAGCCGCAGGCTGGTGGTAAAATATCTAACTGCTGTGGCACATTCCCAGGCCAATCGGCACAGATCTCAGGATGCTGCCCGGTTCTAACCTCCAGGCTCCTCTGCCTCCCATTCTCCCGCATTCTTCCTCCCAAGATTCCAAATCCCCCCAGGGCAGCTCTGTGCAGAGTCCCTTCTGTCCTTTTATAGTGTCAGGCATAGTGTGGTGTCCAGTCAACAGGGACCTCCAAGAAGCAGCTTTGAGGCCAGCCCTCAGGGAGGCCAAGAGCACAGAGACTTCCGGGGTGGGGACACAGAGGGGATAGAAGCAGAGCGGAGACAAAGCAGTGGTAGTAGCAGACAGTCAGTGCTTACCTGTGGATGATACGAATGGCTTTCCCTATGTTGTTATTGATGTCCTTTCCCTCTGTGAAGTTGTACTGGTGGGATTTGGCCTTCCACAGGAAATTCCAAGGACAGGCCATCTCTTTGACTTTGCAGTGTGGTTTGCTTATCTGGATTATAACTCAGATGTTGGTGTCTGTGGGGCTGCAGAGGGTGAAGGAGACTGTGAGGCAAGGTTGAAGATGAATTTCCAAAGCTGGGCCTTCCCCGCTCACTAAAGATCAAGAGAGAGAGCTAAGTCTCACACCGCCTCACACTTTGTTTCCTCACTCCTATTTGGGAGTCAGGTCTGAGCCTTTATAAATGTAGACGTTAATTCTACAAAGCCATATAATCTAAAGGAACAACAAAGGACCTGCAGTGTCACCAATAACCAAGAACAAACCTCTTGACCAGGAGCCTCCTTAGTCACCTGCTAGCTCACCTGACCTAAAAGAGTCTCATCCCTGGCCCAAGGCAAGGCGGGCAGGAGCTGGGAGGTCACTGTAATTCATCAAACATGGACATGCATGCCTGACCCTGCAGTCATTGTTCCTCCTAAGGGAACCTGCCCCTTTTTTTTTACTGGTCAAAGAGAAAATAATATTTTTTGTAAAAAATGCATTTAACGCTCAGTATTTGAGATTATCTTCTTTGAAAAAGATAAAAAAAAACAAAAAACAAAGACCCAAGACTTGGGTTTTGTCTGGACTTCCCCATAGTAAACCTCCTCATTGGGAAAAGACTTTTGCTGAGGCCAGTGTGGGACACAACCACACTGGAACCTAAAACCCTCATGGTTCCAAACTTGACTCTGTTCATTACTTGACCTGGCTCAGGTTCTTTAACTGCAACTTGTTTCTGGTTCATAAAAAGTGATTAGCAGTATCTATCTTACTAGAAGTTTGGGAAGGAGGGTTATATAACCCTTCCCATTCTGGATTTCCCCAGAAACCATTTAAAAACCTTATAATATATTGAGCAAATATTTGCAGAAAAGAAATCTGAATAGGTGCCCTCCATAATAGTCCAAATTTATGGAGTTTCAGGGGGGTTGTTTTGTCTTGTTTTGTGGTGCTGGGAATGGAACACTGGGCCTCAGACACACTAGGCAAACCTCCACCACTAAGTTACATCTCAGCCATAGGCAGAGATTTCCCAGTTTTCTGAGCCTTCCCAATTAGGAAGAAGCAAAAGCCTATCAGAACAGCAGCTTCCCCAGAGACGAAGACAACTCACCTCACAGATGGCTGTGCAGCCCTGCAGAGCAAGATCAAGCAAACTGAGGGAATGGTGTTGGTCTTGAGAACTTCAGGACCACCTGTGACTGCCCAATCTTCTTGCTAATGCGGCTGAGAAGTTTCAAACTACTGATGTGCTGAGGTCTCTAAGCAGTCTTCAACTCACTGCAAAATTAATGATTACACCAGCAGCCCAGAAGTATTTATACTCATTCTGTGCCATTCAGAGAACCATTTTTGCATAAAGTGATCTTATTTGTTTCCAAAGGGAGTGTCCCTGGTGGGATATACCACTAGCCAATTTATGACAAGGACTCCTGGCCTGTGAGTTCTATTAATTACATCATTCAGAGCGTGCATCTTCAGTGAATCCACCTCTTCCTGGTCCCAGGTCTAGGGTGGTGGCAATTAATCAGTAGGGTGTCCCCAAGGTCAAAGACCTTGCCCTTATGTGGCCAAACCACAGTGCCTTGCTTTCAGCATCCTGGGGATTTTTTCCTGAGCAGGAAACTCTCTGGTTAATTTATATCCATTCTTTCACTTTCAGCTTGCAGCAGGAGTCCAGGAAACGGAGATATTGACCACATGCCCTGGAAAAGTCACAAGTTCCAGAGAGTTGGTGCTGCTGGATCCTGCCAGAATTCCAAAACAGGCCCCGAAAACATTGAGCTTGAGTATTTGGAAAGGAAGGGAAGGAAGGAGAAGGCCTTCGACATAGAGAGGCTTCTCAGGTGT